CAGCCACCAGGTGGCCACCCAGTAATATTTTACAAGATACTCGTTTTAAAAAAAGTATTTTTAATCAAAAATAATAATAAAAAGATAGTGCAGATCACTTGCTTCTGCCTTTTTCCTCCCCTTCCCACCCAGCTGCAGCCCTCGCCCCACCATGCCGCTCTGCCCTGCAGCACTCGTCGCTCCCGCTCTGGGCCACCCGGGAGTGCCACGCGTCCCCTGTGAAGGTGGCACCGGAGCAGTCCCACGGGGCACCAGCTCCTGGCAGGTGCTGGCCAAGGCCCATGAGCAGAATACGGCTATGTGCAGCAGGGTTGAGGCCCTGTCAGAAGGTGAGAGGCAAAGATTCAAAAGAAACAGAGCAATCCAGCCCAGGGCTGCTGAAGAGACCAGGCAAGCTCCAGAGAGGCCTGGGGGGAGCCTGTGCTGCTTTCCTGGCAGCATTCCCTTGCTCTCTGTCTTTCTAAGAAGGAAAGAGGAAGACAACGGCTCACTCCAGAACATCTCGGGCGATTGCGTCATCCAGGATTTGCCCCAAACAATAGCAGCTGCTCCCAGGCAGCAAGTGGGGAATTTCCCTGGCTGAGGTGGGGTCAGGTGCGCTGGGTGTCTCCATTCCCACAGCACCTTCTGTTGCTGGTTCCTTAATGTGTCGCACGTGCTCCTCTGGCTTGGAGAGGGGGCAGGGAAGGGTGGTGAGCCGAACAACAGAAGGGACGTGGAGATAACCCTGCCTTCTCCTCCACTTTCAGCCTGGGGGAATCTAAAACCCAGGGATGATCCATGCCCTACGTTTTTTAACATCCTTGCAAACCAGGAGATGGGGCAGGATCTTTCTATCTAGAAGAGGAAACGGCGGCACAGTAAGGCTGCGAGATATCGGGCACAATAGCAGAAGCAGGGATCCACGACCTGATCTTCTGGCACCTCCTATGCTCTGTCTTCAGCCCCAATGCCAGACACTCCGCAGGATGGCACCAGAAAGGAGCGCCAGGCTGGGATCCCCCAGCATCGGCCTCCAGCACTGGAAAGGCTCTGCAAGCGGGGAACCCCCTCAGCCTCCACTCACCTTCTGCCGTGCAAGGGAGGGAGCAGGACCCGAGGGAGCGGGCAGGCTGGGGAAGCCCCTGCAGCCCTCACATGCCCAGGCGCCCGGGGTTATGCTCAGCCTCCTGATGCTGCGGGGGAGCAGGGTGGGTTAGATCACATGAGACCTCAGGTGCCCGCAGCAAGAACAAACATTTATTAAGAGTGCATGTTAACTCTCCTTACCCCATACTTATTCTGATGGCATTTGGGGGTGCCAGAGGATGCTCCATCCACCATACAATGTGAAAATGAGTCCTCTCCTGCTCCTTCCCTGGGTAAGCTGGAGACCCCCACAAGTCAGACCCATGGCAGGGAGGGGAAATTCAGTCCTGCTGCAAGGCACAAATACACCTGTGTAGTGTTCATAGTGCCACCTTCTTCCCTCCGAGAAGGCAGCCTGAGGCCAACAAAACTTCCAACGGGGGAAGGCGTGGGGATAATGTCTCCCAAAGTGGCTCTGCTCTGACTGAACTGCAGGCAGGCAAGGTCCCAGCGGGCAGCAGGGCAACAGCGCAGAGCGAGGAGGCAGCCTGACAGGCCAAAGGAGTCCAGCCGCTCATTCAGAGCACACAACAGGCTTCCCCGAGATCTTCAGGTCATCGAAGGGCAGCAAGGCGAGGAGCTGCAAAAGCCAAGGGTGCAGAGGTGTAAGGATCCAGGGTCATATCTCTGCCCAGAACTGCCCCCCCAGCCCTGCAGCCTCCCACCTCCCCGAGGAAGTGCCAAGAAACCCTGGCTGGGCCTTCCCTAGGGCTCGAGGCAACAGACAGTCACCCCACGCACCCCCAGAGCCAACGCCTGCACCCTATAGGGGAGGATGGGCACGGCTAGAAACTCCTCCTAGGCGCTCCCCCCAAATCGTCTGACTCCTGCACCCCCCGACGCGCTTGCAGAGCCACAGGCCTCCCCCCGCGCAGACTCACGTCATCGTTGCCGTCAGCCAGGTCCTGGGCTGTCTCATTCTCCATGTTCCTCAGTAGGGTGTCAGCCCCGGAGTGTGAGAGGATGGCGGCGATGGCAGCATCCTTGCGGCCCACAGCCAGGTGGAGTGGGGTGCACCCGTTGTACATCTGGGCGTCCACGTATGCCCCGTTGCGCAGCAGGAACTGGACAGCCCTGCGGTTGTGGCACTCCACGGCCAGGTGCAATGGGGTCTTCCCACTCGTGCCCTCCTGCAACCCACAGACCACAAAGGCATGGGTGCGGGGTCCCCTCAGATGGGCCCTGCAGCACCCACCCGCACCCCCTTGACAGGGTGCAGAGGGGGCAGTCCCCACCCCGATTGCTGTCACGGCACCCAGCAGCCCCTCAAGGACCTTTTCCCTCTGCTCCCTCAAAATTCAGTGTCTCCAAGCCCCATGGCAATGCCTGCCCTGAAGCTGAAGGGAGCGCCCAAGGGAGCCACGCGCTGTGCCCAGCCTTACCCAAATATCGCACCATGGCCAGCCTTACCCAAACATCACACCATGCCCAGCCTTACCCGAACATCGATGTTGGCACCGCTCTCCAGCAGCAGAGACATCATCGGGATGTTCCCCTTCAAGGTGCTGATGTGCAGACAGGCCAAGCCTGGGATGGGGAGGCAGGAGAGAGCGCCACAGTCAGCCTGGACCACCCCGAGGCACGCTCTGCTGAGCTCCCAGAT